AGATAAATAAAATGAGCATAATAAATTTAAAATAATCAACCAAATCAATCAACACCAGTCAATTAAGTTAATTAACAAGATCAGAAAAAAACAGTTTTCTATATATATATAGCTAAGCATGCGTGCATAATAATAATATTTAAATAAATAATAATAATAAATACAAAAAAGATGGACACACTAAGGGTATAACTATATCATTAAAGAGTTCTTATTGGAGCTTACCAGAACGACGCCATAGGAACTCAGGATCGAAAGGTCGCAGCGCAAAGGTTGGCCGGCACCCACTAGGCGCCGAGCGGCCCAGCGCAGGTAGCACCCTCAGCGGCGAGCAGCACCAACAGTCCCAGAAGCGCCACCCGGTCGCAAGCCCCAGCCCAGTGGGCCAATCGCCTAACCAGATTGCTTTGGAAAACGCTATCGCTTACGATTTCATTTTGTTATTTCTAACCGCCGAAATACCTCACGCTCATTTTCTTTAACATTGTTATTACCAATGCAAAAGAAAAAAAAGAGCGCGAGGCATTTGAAAACCTCAGGGGGCTAGAAATAACAAAATGAAATCGTAAGCGATAGCGTTTTCCTAAGCAATCCAGTTAGGCGATTGGCCCCCTGGTCGCATCCAAAGCAGCCAGCAGGGTCCTCAATAAGCCGCCCAAGAAGGGTTGCAGCGGCGTGAAGTAGTCGACAGTTCACGGTGGTCGACAGTGTTCCCTACAAAAATGTGCTGCTTTCTTAAAACCATTCAATATCAACTTCGTGCTCCATGACTCATTAAAACAACACACATGCAAATTCTTTTCATTTGTCAAGATTCCCAACTGATCTATTTTTGCTTTATTGTTTATTTTACATGCATCACTATTGAAAAATCAACCGAAGATTTACTACTTCTTTGATTACTACTACTTCTACTTCTATGATTATTAATGAAATGAGTTTACTGAACTCGGCCGATGCTAGTCAGTATCGTTTGTTAAATAGGCAGATTTCTAAGTCTTTGACGAGCGAACTTCGCCAATTTAATACAATCCTATTAAAGAAGCTATAAGACAGAATGTCCAAAGTGTCCAAATCTGTCTATTGGGCAAAGTTAACTGACGAAGCTGAAAACTGACGACTGTAGCATCATTACGAAAAAGTCTGAAATTCTAAGGGATATTGAGAGGTTCTCTTGGCATCTATATTCCACACAAGCACCTGCTGCAAACAAGGCTGATCTTGCCCGACACTATACCGAAGATATCCTGGAAGTGCCTGTATGCAGTGGCGGATTTACAGTCTCGACCGCCCTAGGCCCCAAGCCATCAGCCGCCCTTTTCTCAGCAGCCACCATAGACTACGTAATGATATTATTGCCAACTTTTATCTAAATAGATTTAGAGGAAAAAAAGTAGTTATAATTTTATTAGTTAAACTAAGGATAAAACTAAACGATATGATATAATAAGTGTTATACAATGTGTTACAAAACTCGCCTGCATTTTAGTGCAGCAAAATCATTAATAAAATCTTCGCAATCCAATTTCCTTGAATAATCAACTTCTATGTCAACTCCCCGGGACTCGGCCTTTTGATGAAGGGCAGCTCCCTTAAAACCACTATGAGGCGTAAGGTATTTGATGCCTTAAGCAAAGCAAGATCGTTTATCTTTGGTCCGTCATTGTTGTCGTAAATACTTTTTTACTCGCCATAAACAAAAAAGCGATCATTCTCCAGATCAGGAGCTCTACTCTCTTTAACAGTTACTGGCGGTAGTACATACCCACATACGAAGAACAATATCCACGTTAGGGTAAATGCTTTGGAGACCTTCAGTTCGTAACCATTTCAGCAAACAGCACTGTTCCGATCTTCATTTTTTATAGTGCTGTGAGCTCGAAAATGGACACATTTTCTGAAAAATCTACTTCTAAGTCGGTACAGTAATTTGGCCTTTTCTTTGATTTCTGACGCGCTTAATTTTGTAAGATTAGGGTGTCGATTGGGGCCACCCTAGGCCCGGGCCTATCGGGCCTTAGGGTTAATCCGCCACTACCTGTATAAGATTAGTATGACTCTCAGACAACTTAAAAACAACAATGCGGCGGGCGATGATGGAATCCCTACAGAGTTCCTGAGTGCAGGCGAAAGCCGATACTTAAAGTATTCCAGAAGCTTTTCAATTGCGTCATTATCAAAAGCCAAACGCCGAAATCGTGGGACGGAAATGAGGTTATTCTATCTATTCTTCAAAAAGAGTGATAGCACACTCTTGAAGAACTATCGACTAATCTCACTTCTGAGCCATGGCTCATGGACATGTCCATGAGTTGATTTCTAGAGTTATCACGAATCGTCTCGCTCGCAGGTTTGACGACTTCCAAGCTCCCGAACAAGCCAGTTTCCGAAAAGGCTTCAGAACTGTAGACCACATTCATACGCTGCGGCAGATGCAAATGATACGGAAAACCAAGGAAACTTTTTGAGACCTGGGTGGTGCTGCAGTCTCTCCAAAGGTGCCAAGTAGACTACAGGTACCTATGTCGAGGTGTTAAGATAACCTTTACGAAAACGCCACTATGTCAGTCCGATTATAGTATCGGAGCTCTAATCCGATCCAACTGCAACAAGGGGTGAGACGGGGAGATGTTTTATCTCCGAAACTGTTTTCTGCTGCGTTGGAAGATTACGGAAGATATTTTCAAGCTTCTGGATTGAAAAGGACGTGGCATCAACATCAATGGCGAGTACCTAACACACCTTCGCTTGGCCGATGATGTAGTAGATACTTGTGACTGAGACCTTGGAAGACCAGAAAACAATGCCTAAAGATCTCAGCAGTGTTTCCCAAAAAGTTGGTCTAAACATGAACATGGATAAGACGAAAATAATGTCGAATGTGTTGTACCCACTCCAGTTAAAATTGGAGATACTCCACTCGAATTTTTAGACCATTACGTTTACCTGGGACAGACAGTCCAGTTAGTTAAGTCGAACTTTGAGAAAGCGGTTTCTCGTCGTATTCAACTCGGATGGGCAGCGTTCGGGATGTTACGTAAAATCTTTGCGTGCAAATTACCTCAGTGGCTCAAGACAAGTCTTTGACAAGTGTGTGTTGCCAGTGATGACTTACGGAAGCAAAACGTGGTCTCTTACTATTGGTCTCATAAGAAGGCTCAAGGTCGCACAGCAGGCAATGGAGAGAGCGATGCTTGGTATCTCCCTGTGTGATAATGAGGAAATCCCGAGGAAAACTAAAGTAACTAACTGGGAAGACCCCCTCCAGGTGGACCGACACTATGGTGAAGATCACGGGAAGCCGATATACGCGCGTGGCACAGGAGCGATCGATGTAGAGATCCTTGGGGGAGAGCTATGCTCAGCAATGGGCGTCGTACGGCTAAGATAATTTGATGAAAATACTTAAAAAATAAAAATACTTATAATAACAATTTCCATTTCTTCTTGCAAATGTTTAATGGCAGAACTACACTTATATGTCGTGTTGTGTTGTGATTGTGACGCATCAGAGAGCTGTTTCATACATTTAGGCTCGTATTACAGAATTACATGTATGTGTTGATATTTACTTGAGTACAGTTAGGGATGTCGCTATGTGATATACAAAGCGACATCCTTTTCTAACTGTACTCAAGTAAAGATCAACACTTACTTCTGATTCTGTTATACCGTTCTTAATATGGTTAGAGTGAGAACGGTGTCGACCATAGATTTATTACTAGTGTCAACACATCACGGCACACAGTGCAGTTCTAACCGTACTAAATGTATGTAACCGATCGCGTCTCAACACAACACGACAGATAAATATATTTCTGCCCTAATACTTGTAAAAGTATTCGTTTGACATTGTGGGTTACCTACAATGCGAAGAGATGTCGCTGCCTTGCAGCTTAAGAAATACTAGAAAAAAATCAACACGGCCATAAGGGCCGCGGTAGCATAATGGTCCGTGCATCCGCCCGGATAGCGGAGGGTGCAGATTCGAGTAACGTCTGCTACCTGGTCCGCATGGAATTTTATCTGGTAAAATTTACTTCATATAATTTTTACTATGTAAAAATTAAAACCATCAAAATTGCAAAAATGTTTTATTCAAATCCATAATCAGGCAGCACTGCTTCGCTTAAAAACTATTTACAATATTTCAAATGCTAAGTACAGAATAACATATGGAATGTAATTGAACTTTTGAATATTTTATTACTTATTGCATTTTACAGCCTACAACAGACATGAATAATGTAAACTTTCACAAGGAAAGCGCTCAGATGCTCATCTATTTATCTGGAGAACGCTCAAGTCAAGTAAAAAGCATTTCAATAAGTCATTAAAAAAAAGTTTCTAGCTGATCCTAATACAGTAATTGTCAAACATTATTTCTCTTATGATTTAAATAAAAATAGTAATAATTCACGCTAACTTATTTACAATACCTATTATAGTGAACTCCCTAAATCTTTAAATAAAAACTGTTTCCCTACTTCATGTCAACTATATATTATTGCTTTGTTAGACTTGTCTTTCAATAATTTATATCACATTCTATGTTAAACTTATTTTGATTCCTAATAGTTACGACATTTATAAATAGGGCGCATTTACAAAGCATTTATGCACCATTCATGTAAGTTGTAAAATGATTTGTATTTTTTGACAAACAAGTTTTATGGAATAGGATAAATGGATAATTTTATTTTATCGGTAATATTTCAAGGATAAGTTAACATTATGAAGGGAAACTAATGATAGAAGACAATTGAATTATCAAAGTATTTGCCAGACAAATTTAACAACCATAATGCTTCATAACATTTTCACACATTTATCTAATAATCTGTATATTTAAATTAAATATGAGTAAGAGAGAATTAAACATTTTTTTTTTGTAATTAACTGGTAAACCAATTACTTGTTAATAGGTGGCAACTAAGAATTTCATAATTTAAGAATTTTATTTTGATAAACTTAATAATAAATATTTGCTTAAAATTTGTCAAGGCCACACAAAATAAGTAAGTAATAAGTAAACACATGAGAACATTCCTATAAGATCAATAATTTCATTTGAGTTTGAGTGCCAATGAAATGAAACATTATAAAAGTTATTGCCGTGTTGGGAACTAAGATCGATGCTTATTACGGTTTATACTCTGCATGAGACGGCGGCCCCACCACTGCTCCAAGTTGAAAGGCCTAAAGTTAGCTAGCTGGCGTGGAGCCATCACTTCCTGATAATACTTTGCCTCTTCGCCGCCTCGTTCCAAATCCCTTGTCACCTGAAATTTACAAGTTAATCAGATCAATACATTTTTTAATAATACTTTAAAAAGATAACTGTGAAAAACAATTACAACAATAATATTTAATAAGACCTTTATAGCCTCATCCACATTTCTGAATACTTATAAAATTCAGTCTACAATGACTGCCTAAACCATTGCTCAATCTACAAATAGCATTTGTGTCTTATGTCTCAACTTCATCATATAATTAGTAAAGAGGATTTAGTTTGATAAAAATCTATTTGAATTATTTTGAATATTTTGAATAATAGAAAATGGTTATCAATAGTCATTCGCAGGTTTTCAAGGTGAGGAGCTTGATGGCGCAAGTGGTTAAGTGGTTCTGCCTGCTTCTACAGTCGTTAATGCCTACCAATGTGCACTGGGCCCATGTGGTGGGTCATGGTCCAATCTCCCCACTACACCCATAAGGAAGTTATGTGACCAGACCCATCTGGGCATCCCAGTGGGCACTCTGGGAAAGTGCCCAGGGCCCTGCGAGCGATAGGGGGCCCCCTCAGATCAAATACAAAGTCCCTAGTTCCTGTTAAATCACCAAATGGAAGTCATAGGGGCCCCCTTATCCTAATATGCCCAGGACCTCCATTAGGTCAAAGACGGCACTGGATGTGACTGTTTACAGTAGAATCTTTAATACATTTTATTTTCTATTAAATAGTCACCTTATTCCATGATTCAAATATATAATTTATGAGATCATCATGTTGATTGGTGTTATTGTTATTATTGTGTGCGTTGACTTGCTGCGGTTGCATTGGTGGACTGAGACGTGCTCCGTTATGCCCATTACCACTGTAGCCATTACTGTTGTGTCCGTTTCCATGATTGTTTCCGTTATGTCCATTACTGTTATGTCCATTTCCATTATGGCGTTTGCTTCCAGTCATGTGTGGTAAGGAACGAGGACCACTGTTTACATAGCTTGATCTAGAAATAGAATTTTAATTTACCAATGAACATTCAAAATAAATCAATGATGATTATATTAACAACAAAAATCGAGGACCTAGATGCTTATAAAAGATAAAATATGTTTGTCTGCATGTATCTGTATGTGATATGTATATGAATAAACTTATCTTATGTTTTAAAAGGATCACTAAGCTTTGTGCTGTTATCTATGACCGACTATCCATTTTTGTTATAAGACTGTCACTAACTTCAATTAATGAGCATTACATTTCTAGTTTATATGTAATGAATTTTATAACAATGTTATAATAATTGTAATAGATAAGGTACACGCACAAGATAACGACTTCAGTACAGAAAATGCATATTCATAAAAAAATATAAAATCTTCAACAAAAAAAATCATAAATATGGCATGTAACTACAAAGACATAGTCTATTCATCATTAAACTGAAACTTAAATAACGGTGATAAATAAGCAACTGATTTGTGCTGATTTTATAGCAAACATCTTGCTTCAACCAAACAAACAATAGATACAAAGGCTTTCTATCAGTTTGTTAGATTCACCTCTAAAAAAAGGCAGACTTTCACCACTATGAACCACAATCATTGTAAAGCCTAATAAAATGCTATCGAGGCCTTAGTATTAAAATAGAAAACCATAAAAGCGCGAAAGTAGACATGGGCGTTTTTGGTTTTGAACGCAAACGGATATTTATCGGATTTCAGATTTCAAAATCGATTTTAAAATCCGTTTTTAGATATCCGATTTCAGATGTGCCAAACTAAGCCAATTCACTAGTTTGTGATATGATTTGGTTTTATTAGCTAACGAAAATCACAAACAATTAATTGTACGAAGCAAGGATACTCGTAGATTTGCGCGATTTTCCTTTATGCTTTAAATCTAGGCTTAGGCAAGAGTATATATTCTGTGGCTTAGGACTAGCAGAAAAGTTATCTTTACGGTTAAGAGTAAAACTTTTGCGGCGCATTTAAAAATCGGCTTATGTTAAATGATTTTATTTTACATATTTTTTTAGTATTTTTTTTGGTTTTTCTGTTTGTTTTTATTATTTTTCAAACCATTTACAAAATCAAACCTAATTACTTCAGGTTAGCGTTCAAAAAAATGTCAGTTGCTCGACTTTTGATGTTTTTAGACATCTTTTTTCAGTAATAAATAATCCCGCCTTACAGAAGAACAATAGATTTCGGTAAACAGCAAACCGAAATCGGACTTCCGAGCACGAAATCTGACTTCCGAAAACGAAAGCACGAATTTCGAATCCGATTTACATTTGGATACTTGTGGTGGTATTAGATCGCTAGCGTTTTGGTTCGGTTAGATTTCTGAAATCGGATTTTCTTGTTGAGAAATCGTTCGGTATCGATTTGTGTTTGAAATCGGATTTTGGATTCGTTTTGATATATCGGACGCATGCCTACGCGAAAGTAACTGACGGAGCGAAAGGCTACATACCTCATATTGTTACGGTCCATCTTTCAATATAGCCCGCTTATACTCGTTTTTATTGTTAACCTTATGATAAAATCTCAATGCCAATAATTTAATGCTAAGCTTATGCACTAATACATGTCGTAATAAAAGTAATTGTAAAAAAGCTGTAAATAACAATAAAACACCAAAGATAAATAGACGGGACGCCACACAACACGACAAAATTGTCAATAGTTATCAGCTGCACTTCCGCAAATTGATACTCATTGTCGATTGGTGTTTATATGACCGGACGTGCCATTTTAACCAATCAGCATGAAGAGCTAGCCTGCGATGGGAAATGTGAACCAATGACCATCAGTTATTGACAGGATCTACAAAAACCTTAGCGTATTTTTTTTTTTAGTTGATGGTAAAGAATTCATAAATGTACATACTTGGTCTGTATTTCTTTTGCTCATATGAAATTGAAATGTGTATTTTTTTTTCAATATCTGTGTTGGCCTACATTCCAAACCTATGCTCTTAATGCAACATTGTACTCTGTCATTTCAATTTTGCCATAAAATGTATGAAACTTTTTGGCGTTTGTTGCCTTTGCACCTGCTTGGAACGAACGCAACCTTGTTGTCAAATAATCCATTTGCCATTGCCATTACAGATTTTATACGTCGCTGATCATAAATAAACATAAATTTTGTTTGCGATCTAAAAATTATTTGAAAAAAGTGATGAATAGGAAATAAGTACTGATCAAAAATTTAAATATGTCAGAAAAATTAGGTTTCGAAGAACTAAGGGCGAAATATAAGGTATCTAACCATCAACTTACAAATATTCTAACCAAGAAAAGCAAAACATCCTTTATTTTATGCCAGTAATATTTTGATTTTCAGGATGTGTTATCAAAGGCATTCGCTACCAATAACATTGATTTACTTGATTCTTTTACTAAGAATACCAATGAGGTGGACCGAAAAGCAGCAATGGACCAAGCATTTCGAGACAAATTATTGGAATTACTCATCGATGAGCCAGACACACTTGAAAACTACGTCTGTTTTTGTATAGAGTCCTGTAGACGGCAGATGGTGACACCAACAATGCCAGTTGTTCTCCTTGGTGACATATTTGATGCACTAACATTGAACAAGTGTGAAAAGATGTTTACATATGTTGAAAATGGAGTAAACATTTGGAAGGAAGAACTATTCTTTGTGGCCTGTAAAAATAATCTGCTCCGTATGTGCAATGATCTTCTGAGACGTTTGTCACGATCACAAAATACAGTTTTCTGTGGTCGTATACTGCTTTTTCTAGCAAAGTTCTTCCCATTCTCTGAGCGCTCAGGACTCAATATTGTTTCCGAGTTTAATTTAGAGAACGTTACAGAATTTGGAGGAGACAACTCAAGTAATTTAAAAGATTCTTTGGAAGAAGATATGGTTGTAGACAATGAGAAAAGCAAATTGGGTATAGACTATAACTTGTATTGTAGATTTTGGAGCCTTCAGGACTTTTTTAGGAATCCAAATACATGTTACAATAAATTACAATGGAAAACTTTTGTTGCAGTAAGTTCTGTGACATTCTTCATAAAAGCCTGCAATTTATAAAAATTAAAGATATATTAATTATTACCAAGCAAATATAGAAAGCATGTCACCAACAACAACCTACAGTCAACCTAATTCATTAAATATTTTTTATTTTAGCATTCGGGCAGTGTGCTTTCGGCATTCTCATCTTACAAGTTGGAAGCTGTTGAACTACAGAAGGCTAAACTGAACAGACTGAAGGCAGTAAACAATGACATTGAAATGCAGGAGTCAAACAAAGAACAGCATTACTTTGCGAAATTCCTAACCAATCAAAAGCTACTGGAGCTACAATTGTCCGATTCCAATTTTAGACGATGTGTCTTGATACAGTTCCTGATTTTGTTCCAGTATTTAACTTCCTCAGTTAAATTTAAAATGTAATTGTTATGGTTTTTAGTTTTTTCTTATTTAAGCTTTATACTTGTTTATATATCTAAATCTAGGTCTAGACGAGAGACCTTAGATGATTTGAAATTATTCTAGTGAAGTATTTTTTTAAGATGTTATTGTTATGTTATGAAAATGATTAAAACTTACAAAATACCTTACCACATTTTTATAATTTAAAACATTTAATTACTTTCAAATCATGCTGGTTAATAATTTTAGGGAATCGCAAGAGTTAAAGTCTGACCAGCAGGATTGGGTGAAGGAGACTACTTCTTTAGTGTACAAACTTCTTGGTGAAACACCACCTGATGGCAAACGCTTTGCAGAATGTGTCAAACACATCCTTAAGAGGGAAGAGCACTGGAACAACTGGAAGAATGATGGATGTCCAGGTAAAATGGTTACTTATGACAATATAGTATACAGGTATTATATTAGGAATGGAGCCAATTATACTTTCATCCACTTCTACATTCTTTGTAGATTTTATATTCTTTTCAACTTGCTCTCATGTACTTTATTCATTTATCCTGATACTTCATGGTATAGGTTGGTGCCATCGAAATTGAAAAAAGCCAATGACTAAAATGGTAACACAACAGCAGATTATAATTTTTTACAGAACAAAACTCACTGGAAACAAAAGAAACTTTAAAATCAAAACCCTGTCGCTAATTTAACTATCGTCATTAGGACTATAGTGTAACCGTTTTCTCAATTTTTCTCTTTTTAAATTGGTAAAAAAATCATTCCCTGTAAAAATTAAACTTCTCTCTAGATGTGGAATAAATCAATAGACACTATTACTCAAAATTATATCAACTGACATCCTTAATGTCTATGTTGATAACATTGACCGTCTGATTAGGTCTATTATAGCTCATAATAAATAAAATTTCACATAATTTATTAGGATTTTCCTCTATCTGGCTTACTTTTGTTGCTCCGAAATTCATTTGGAACAAATATTAATAAGTCATAATTTTTTGTAAAAAAAAATATAGTAATTGTTTGGCGGAATGTTTATATCCGCGCGGTAGCGGGCGGTGAAGCGCCAGCCACCTAATATAATAGATAAATAATGCAAGGAAAAGTTATATATTTGTATGCTGAAAGACAATTCTGACTGTGATGGTTTTGCTTTTTGATCATTGTAGACAACGATATTAAATACCCTAGATACACCAACACGAACAAAACCGTGCCCGAAACCTGTCCAAAAGGTACATTGAACGATCCACGGAGCTCCGTAAGATGATCGCGTAGTCAAATTCAATATAAGGCATTAATTGAAAGTAACCTTTAATACACACTGTATAAGGTCATAAATAAAACGCATGCGTCAATGACTTCTGACAGTTCAAAATGCAAGCTCGGAAAAATTTACGACTTATTGCTATATGCGGAAGAATTTAGACCTTAGTTCTCTACGCGCAATTCTGAACGCGCTGTTAGCAATATAGCAGGCACGGACCGCGAGGAAAAGAGACGGCTATATGGCGACGTATAACCGACTATGCATTTGAATATCACAAATAGTTTATATTAAATCAGTTTATAGTAAGTATTAGATCAAAATTTGCTTCAAATGCGTTAAACTAACAAACATTGACAAGATATCTGGCGAAAAAACGACACTTTTCGTACTCTAAGTATTATATTCGCATTTTCCGCGGAGCTCTGACAGGCATCTTGACTTTGTAACGGTCCGCGCGTGACTGTGAACCCAGAAGTGCTTGAATGGAGTTCAAGCACTTCTTGATTGGGACACATTTTGAGCGCTTGTGGTGTATCTAGGGTATTTAATATTGTTGATTGTAGATAACAAATTTATGTCTAAATATAATTCTGGCTTACAAAAATATGCGTTTGAAACTCTGCTGAGTGAATGCCAAATGATTTTCTTCAAAATGAAGTTTATGCCATCAGCTGGTATTCATAATAGTATTATGACAAAAAAGTTCTGCGATACAAGGTACATAATTATGCTCAATATATTAATCCTTTTCTGTCTCTATCTTTTAGAATTCCAAAAACCAAAACCACCAGTCCAATCTGACACAACGGATGAGGTGCGGAAATCCAGGAAAAGGCGGCGTCCCGTCGGCGACATCATTAAGGAATATGAAGGTCAGCAAAAGAGCTACATGGGAAAGTAAGTATCCACAGTATTGTATATTTTATATGTCTCGGGATAGAGTTCGTTATTAAAATACCACTTCACAATACACATTTTATAAGAAGCATTTATTTATATTCATTCATCATTGTAATACTATACACATTATATCTTTGAATAAAGATTGCATAAAATAAGTCAACATATTTTATTTCAGCAACGAGTTAACAAAACTTTGGAACTTATGCCCTGACAACTTAGCTGCTTGTCGTACCAAGGAGAGAGACTTCATGCCCTCACTAGGTATGTATCTCTTACACTTGATATGTGCATTTTATTGCAAGAATTACCTTGAACATGATGTAATAATTATTGTAAACAATTAAACGCTGGAATATCACAGTGAACAATTTATATTTGAAGCTGCAGTAATCACACTAATATCATATAGGTGAAAGTTTGTAAGTGTGTATGTTTGTGACTTCTTGCCGTCTAAACGACTGAAACGCTTTAAATAAAATTTGGTATGGAGTTAGCTGACACCCTGGATTAACACAGGCTACGTTTTACTACGGGAAAAAAACCCTGATAAACGGCGGGTACAGCAAGTAGTAGAATGAACACATGTCAATACTGTTTCTTAAGTTTGAATAGTACAGTCTTTGGTATCTAACTATCTCGCCGTTTGTATGTGTTTCTATTAAGCGCGGCCACTCTAGCGATACTTATAAAAGAAGTGGAATTTTTCAATGTTTATTTATTTTATTTTTTTAATAAAGTTTCTACAGCGATGTTTGTGGATGTAATACAACAAAATATAAATACAATCTTAAGGCCAATTACATAAACTTATTATGTACACATTAGATGCTAACGGCGTTACTATATACCAATATCACATTTATTATTAAAATAGTATTAAAATCAAGTAATTTACTAACATAGAATTAAGTTAAGATTTGATAAGACATAACAAATGACAAAAAATAAAAACATACAAATATCTATTTAGAAGGGTTTTTAGGAATTTGTCATATGATAACTTTATGAAGTGTCGTTGTGTGTGCATGTATGTATGGGTGTGTGTGTGTGTGTTTATGCAGCTGTAATGCTATACCTCGTTAAGTTGTACTCTAAAAAACGAGTTCGCGGGAACTCTGACCCAATGATTTTTTTATCTTGCAATGAATGAGTCGATTGTTGTCTTTGATTAAAACAAAAAGGGTAGATACGGTACGCTCATACTAGCATCAAATAAAATATGATCCGACTCAACTACATAAGCAACTCACACACACGCCTGTATATAAACATTCAAAGGACCGAGCGAGACAGAACTATATGCTGCAACGCAGCGTATTGCTGTCCTTTTCTTGATACAAAATGGCTATTACGTACATTCACGATAAACCGTGATTTATGAGAAAAAAATGTTTTTACAGTTTTACGAATGAAAAGTGTTGTGTTCTTTATAAAAGCATCGAAGGCATTGTTTTATCTTCATGACACAGAATATACGCAATATTTGTTATACTGAGTGCACATGCAGCGTGTTTGAATGTCCATGTTGTGACTCAAGCGAATTATGGTCACACACCACAATTTAAGCGGATCATTTTAAAGCCGCGAGTGCCGTATCTTCCCTTTTTGTTGAAATCTAAGATTGTCGTCTTTTCGTTAGAATACTACATGGTGGGCGTTGATCGCGACGCGAGACGCACTTCTTGCGGGGGGTGGGGATGGCGGGCGCTACGGTTACTGGCGAGGCGATCGCCGCACTTCTTCGTTCACACCAACAACCCCATAGGCCGCCTGCCCGACTACCTCGACGATATGGTGATTTATCTACTGATATTAAATACCCCTCCTTGCGCCATCGAGCTCCTCAAGGAGGTCGAGGAGCTCGGTAGCGCAAGTGGTTAGCGCGTTCGGCTGCGATCGTTGAAGTTAAGCAACTTTCGCAGTGGTCGGTCATTGGATGGGTGACCAAAAATCTTCTATCTCGTATTCCTCCGTGCTTCGGAAGGCACGTTAAGCCGTTGGTCCCGGCTGCATCTGCAGTCGTTAGCACCCACCAATCCGCACTGGGCCCGCGTGGTGGGTCATGGCCCAATCTCCCTATTACATAGGAAAGGCCTGTGCCCCAGCAGTGGGGACATTAATAGGCTGATGATGATGATGATGAAGATTAAATACCCTAGATACACCTCGTGCGCTCAAAATGTATTCCAATCAAGAAGTGCTTGAATACCACTCAAACACTTTTTGGCTCACAGTCACGCGCGGACGGTTGAGAAGTACGGGACTCGAACCCGCACCCTCCGCTAATCGGGGTGATGCACTGACCATTATGATACTGCGGCCCTGAATGTCCGTGTCCAATTTTCTTTAGTATTTCTGAGGCTGCAAGGCAGCGTCGTCTCTTCTCATTGTAGGTAACTCACAAAGTCAAATGAATAACAAGTATTAAACATTTGAAAGAAGAAGAATCTAAAGAAAAGTTTCCTTTTAATGGTCTAGTTTGACCATTAATAGTCAGTGCATCCGCCCGGATTGGGGAAGGGTGCTGGTTCGAGTCCCGTGTGCCAGGTCCGCGTGGAATTCTATCTAGTAAATTTTTCTTTACATTTAATCATCTAGCAGTCAATTTCTTTAAAAAATATATAACTATGTTAAAACTTTATTGAGATTTATATGTCGAGCAGTTTAATATTAAAATAATACTGTTAGAAAGTTATTAAATTATTATTATGGCCAGGTGGATCGAGTAACTCGTGAAGTTGCCGCGAATGCAGCCGCCAACAACGCGAATGGAGATTCTTCGGGTAACACTAGCGACAAACCCATGAAAGTAAGTGGACAATCCCATTAAGATATGTATAATGGGATATAATAAATCATCCACAATTTGTATAAATTCATAAGTGCTTATCTCGCTAACAAACTGTTCGCATACATAATTTCGCGAATATAATCTAGTAGTAAATATAAATAAATAAATATTTCCAACATTCACACTAATAGGGGTGATGACGGGGTAAAGTAAACGAAATTCTATTTAGTCCGTCAGTTAAATGATCAAAAAATAATGGAAACGTATTTTTTCTTTGGGCAATCAACCAAAAAATGACAAAGTTATAGCGCGTCAAAGTTTGGAAGTAGGGGCTCGTGACGTCACTTTTGATTGAATTTTCACTTAAAAGTGTACTCAAACGTGACATCATGCGACTTTTCAAATCAATATATCTCTGCAATGTTTATATTATATGAAAAAAGGAAAAAATACGTGTCCAATACTTTTTGATAATCTACCTGATAAACGAAGAAAAAACAATTAGTCATCATCCCTATTAGCCTAGCCCCACAGTAAGCACTGTAAGGCTTGTGTTATGGGATACTAGGGTAACGGATAGAATACATACATATCTTAATATATATAAATCTCGTGTCACAATGTTTGTCCTCAATGGACTCCTAAACCACTGAACTGATTATAATAAAATTCGCACACCATGTGCAGTTCGATCCAACTTGAGAGATAGGATAGTTTAAATCTCAAATTATAGTCGCAATTTTAATTTATTGCAAATTATTACTTTTGGGCGGTACGAAGTTCGCCGAGTCAGCTAGTAATGTATATATATAAGTATATTTATACAGAAATACATATGAAACATCCATGACTGGAGTAAAAATGCTCGTATTCATCACACAAACATGGATATTGTTACGTGTCGGGATGGGGTTCGAAATTATATGCTAGTTCACGCTTGACAGTTCTTTATTCACCACACAGTTTACACAATTAACACACAATGTTAATCACAGTACACTCACTAAACACTAATTTAACAAAACAAGTCTCTAAACCAGTGTTTCCTAACCTTTCCAATACTGTTACCCCTGTAACCTATTAGGAAAACAGATTTTACCCCGACTTTAAAATGTTATCATCAGTCCAAGAAATTCCAATTTGGCCACTACATCTTCGTCTCTAATAATGTCATCATCAGGAGAAAATCTCGCCCCGCTTCCCACACTCTGCACCCCGCGGGCTCGCTTGCAAGAAGGAGCGCATGCTCTATTTAGTAGTATTATTATATAGTATTTTCTTATTATTTAGATTTGACCAAATAATTAGGTTCTTTGTTACCCCCGAAGTATGGCTGATTTACCCCCGGAGGTAATTACCCCCAGGTTTGGAACCCAGGCTCTAAACAATCGCACTTGAACACTTGTTGCACTTTGATCGCCTTTGGATTCGTTCCGAAATCGCTGTTGAAACTCAACTGTCTCTGCGAGGCGCCGATTGCGCTTATATTCGCCGATAGACGCATTCTATACCTTAGTTAAATTGAGAGTGAGCTAGCACCCGCGAATAGGTAGTACCTACTTATACCTTACGCAGGTACCGCGCATAACTTGTAAATAAGTGCAGATGTCAGCGTTGCACTTTCTCTCTTACGTCGCACTGCATAAGGCACATTTTAGAATGAGCTGCATTATTCGACCTCTATCACTACCCGCGGTGCTCTGGCAAATTCGGTCTCTAGCCCTTTCGCGGTTCCGTTTCGAGAGCGTTTGTGATAATATAGTAGTAAGCTCAATTGAAATGTATTGGAAGAATAAATATATAAAAATCGAATGAAATCGTACAGCAACAAATCAATTTGTCCCTTTTTTTGTGGAGGGAAATATGCACACAGACGCAGTTTAACGAACGCGCATGTAACTACTACATAAACAATGACAAAATACATCGCCGATTCCTACACACATGTAACGTTTGTATGCCCAGCTTGGCAAAGGGGAAAGCTGTGTATGCCTACTCCCCGCCTATGAATGAAATCAGTTATCTCAATCATGATAATTATGAATCGTATATCATATTGAAGTCATTTTCAGCTTGACGACTCTGTATAGAATGATGTGACGTATGCATGGCGAAGAAGAACGGAAACCCTTCCGTCGGAAGCGCCATATTGATGCAGATACATTATTACCGATCATAAGATGTAACAAAGTGCACATTGTAATGCCACTAATATAAATGTCTGAGTTTGTATGTTGGTAACTTAATCGCGCAAAAACCTCTGAACAGATTTGGAAATTTACACAGAGACAACTTATTACCTGGAGAGAGACACAGGATACTTTTCATCGCGGTAAAGTGTGGGTTTCCTGAGTGATTAAAGAAACTGAAGTTAACGCGGAAAAACCATATAGTATGTATTAAAATTTAAAATAAACGAGTTAGTATTTTCTGAGGTAAATACTATTCTTCTTATGGCGAACTTCGTATCGCCATAAAAATATGGGTGGTAGAAGGGTGAAAATTTAGACTTGTATGTATTTTTGTATCATGTATCATAAAACAATAAAAAATACTGTCCAAAAAAAATTATTTAAGTGTGGACCAACCTTAACATTTAGGGGGATGAAAAATGTTGTCCGATTCTCAGCCCTACTAAATATGCATATAAAATTTCACGAAAATAGGGGAAACCGTTTCGGAGGAGTTCAATTACGCACTCCGTGACACGAGAATTTTATATATTAGATTTCTATTTATATTTAATTTTATCTGAATCGGTTCAGCTGTTTGAGCGTGAAGAGGCACCAGACAGACTCACTTTCGCATTTATAGTATTACTATGGATTGTCTAACTTCATCTCATTTCGCGATTCCCTTCAAAGCTATGACTATTATAGCTCCTGCTTTCTGCTCAATAGTCCTGGGTTCGAATCCTGGAAGGAGTGCGCGACTCGTCGAAAGATATGTATTACATGAGTGATTTAGTTTTTATAGTACAAACTCTGCTTCGTTAAAGTTAAGTTATAAAAAATACTAACTATATGTGTCCCAATATTCATCCATATCCGTTCAGCGGTTTTGCGTCATTAAGTGACAAACATTCAAACTTTCACATTTATAATATTAGTAGGATTAATTTTCAAATCATGATTCTAACTTAATTTTTTATTGTTTAGGAAAATACAGAAGAAGAAATCACAGAAGAGCAGATGGAAGCCGATCTCATAAAGGAAGGAGACGCCACCGATATAGAACAAGTAAGTAAAGGTCCTAATAATTTCCCCACTGCTGGAGCACAGGCCTTCCTTATAGATGGAATAGGTTGATTGGGCCAAAACCCACCACGCGGGCAATGTGAATGAAGAGATGACGGGGTAAAGTAAACGAAGCTCTATTAAGTCCGTCAGTAAGATTATTTGTGTCAACGGACCAAAAAACCAAACCAAAAAAAATACAAAGATAATGCGCTTCAAAGCTTGGGAGTGGAGACAATTGACGTCGTTTTTAAGTAAAAAAAATCCAAGAAGTGACGTTTGCGATATTTCAAATCAATATATAAGGTACGTTGGGGTAAGGTCGGATTTCCTATATAAGATTTTCAAATGAAATTGATATTTAGTTGATAAGGAAAAAAACAAAGTTTTTTTTTTAAATTATCGATCTACCAAGGTTGCTTTTCATAATATTTTGATTCATTTTAATTTTAACATAAAATGTACGAAACTATTGTCTTTGACATTTGTTGCACCTGGATCGTAGTTTTTGAACGTAGCCCTGTTTATTTTGTGTATGACAGCCACGTGAGCAGTAGACGCTGTGCGTAGGCATGTTTGAATGAAAATTTAAAATGTTTTCAAAAAACTTTTGCTGGCGACCCGGCTTAAATTTATAGAGCCTATGCACAGCACGTTTTTTAAACGCGCCGTTAACGCGCGTTTATAAAGATACAAACACGATGCTAAGTGCTAACGGGCGTGTGTATTGAGAAACGACATCAAACTGCTCTGTAAGTTAAAAGCGCGCCGTCAACGCAAGTTTCTAAAACGCGTTTAGACAACGTTTTTGCCTGAAGCAATAAATAATCCTGTATTTCATTGGCCGCCTTTTAATATTATAAATTCTCCTGCAGGTACCAGATTCTACGCACGCCGGCGAAGAAGACTACGACAAGTCTTCCCGCACGCGTCTCACCATGATATCCCCCTCGCAACTCGATGCGGTCTCCTCAAAACTCGCCGATTGGAAGAAGCTAGCCACCAAACTCGGCTTCAAGGACGACGAAATACAATTCTTCGAGACGGAAAACGCAACGGACCCGTCCAGAGCCAAGAATATGCTGCAACTCTGGTTCGACGACGATGAAGACGCTTCGGTTGAGAATTTACTTTATATAATGGAGGGGCTCAAAATGGCCGACGCCTGCGAGGCACTGAAAAACGCCAAATGACGTTTACTAAAACGTAGCTCTAAGAGAAGACAATAAACTTTTTGTATTATTCAATGAGTTGTGGTTTTTATTTGTGCTCTTATGATGATTATTGAATACCGTGTAAATTGTATTTGGATAGTGAACCTCTCTTATTGCAGTGAGATTACAGAATAAGATACAGGGTTTGTCATATTTATATGGTATGGTAGACATGCTATGAAAAGCAACATTGGTAGGTCGATAATTAAATAACATATCTCTATTAAAATGTAAAGAAAATTTTACTAGAGAAAAATTTACACGGACCATGCATCAGACGGGACTCCAACCCGCACCGTCCGCTTTTCTAGCAAAATTTTCTTTAGATTTAAACATCTAGCAGTTAAATGTTTAATATATAAAAATATAAATATAATTACTATTATTTCTTTCAAATATCTATTACTTGTAAAAGTTTTCATTTGACATTGTGGGTTACCTACGAAGAGATGGCGCTGCCTTGCAGCCTAAGAAATACTAGAGAAAATTCGTCACGGACAATTAGGGCCGCGGTTGCATAATGGTCAGTTCATCCGTCCGAATAGCGGAGGTAGTCTGTTGCTTGTCCGCGTAGATTTTTTTCTTGTAAAGTATTCTTTAGATTTAAAGATCTAGCAGTTACTCTCGCACTTAAAAAATAAAAAAATATAAATCTAATTTTCTACTTCATCAAAACTACAAAATTGATAATATAGGAAATTATGTATCATTCGAATTCGGTGACAGAATTTTTGTATACTACTTTTTCTTTTTTTTTAAGTTTGTCCGTTACAAACATACAAAAGACCTAAAATTTTAATCGGCACGATCTTTCAGAGGTTTAAGAAACAATTACTTTGTTATATGTGTGTTACTATAGCTACCATGACCTAGTCTACACCAAATCAAAATGAGATTTTTTATTGCGAATTTGTAGTAGGTACCTATTCACATATTTGACTTTTGATGATATCATTCGCTGCTAAATATATAACAGAATTTATGGTCAATTCATACTAGCCCAGAGGCGAAGCGATTTTCAGAAACAGTAACATAGCAAATTCATCCTTATCTCGACAACGTAAGGCAAAAGAAGTGAAGTCATGCGATATTTCAAATCAATATATAAGATACGTTGGGGTAAAGTCGGACTGTTTCTCGCTTAGTTGAGGAGGTTCCAGAAAATGTTCTGTCCCTGATATCCTTTATAAGATTTTCAAATGAAATTGATGTTTAGATGATAAGGAAGCTACCAAGGTTGCTTTTCATAATATTTTGATTCATTTTAATTTTAACATAAAATGTACGAAACTATTGTCTTTGACATTTGTTGCACCTGGATCGTAGTTTTTGAACGTAGCCCTGTTTATTTTGTGTATGACAGCCACAGAACACATATACCCAATGACAGCCACGTGAGCAGTAGACGGTGTGCGTAGGCATGTTTGAATGAAAAATTGAATGTTTTCAAAGTCTTGCTGGCGACCCAACATTTGATGATATCATTCGCTACTAAATATATAACAGAATTTATGGTCAATTCATACTAGCCCAGAGGCGAAGCGAATTTCAGAAACAGTAACATAGCAAATTCACCCTTATCTCGACAACATAAGGCACATATGCTGCCTTCGCGCGAATTCCGTCGAATGTGCGCGACTTTTTATCTCAGAAGGAATATGCATATTACGTTGCAGAGATAATACTGACTTCGCTTCGATGCGCTTCGACTCTGCTCTTGTATGAATTGACAATTATTGTAAAGAAACAAAACATAATTATTCTGCTTACTAAATAAAACAAGTTTTAACGGTATAGACGCACTGATTTATTTATTTATTGACAGTGGCTGATTTGCAGTCTCGGCCGCCATAGGCCCCAAGCCATCAGCCGCCCTATTCTCAGCATTCACCATAGACTATATATAATGAAATGAGAAAATTAAAACATAAATAAATTAGGAAAAAATAGTTTGATTTCTCAAGAATAAGATACATAAGTTGTTATAATTAATAATTTACTCTAACATACTCTGCCAACTTGGCATTTGAGTGGTGAGCGTGAAAATCTAAGAAACAAATATTCTGCTTACGTCCACCTACTCTGCGAAGATTCCAGACCCAAAATCTTTTTCCTTTAAGTGTTGCTGCAAATGTGACAGATTTGATTTACAAATAGATAATCATTACATAAATAATCACTAATGTTAAATTTTTCCCGTGCATAGAATATTTTTTAAAAGAAATTACTACCGTGCCTAATTCATGTTGGCATCATAATATTTCATCATAATTTAAAACCGATTTGATTTTTTGTTAACAAATCAATTCAAAAGCTGGTTAAAAGCTTTCGCCAGGTTTCATGAAAATATGTAAACATTATATTACTCTACTTCGATTCTAGACTGGAAATCACATTTATTTACTCGGTTCATTTTGTATTTAGGACTACACTTATTTACGGTGTTCTGAAACATACAAAAACTATTTTTGCGTTTACAAATTGATAGCGCAGACGGTAGTTTTCAATAACACTCTGAAAGATTTATAAAACCATTCAACAATGTTGGCCGCGCCGAAATTATAACTCGCACGCATTTCCTCATCCCGGCTGAGTCACGGCGTGCCCAAAACAGAACTTATTACGTACACACTTCCACAGAATTAAATTTAACTTACGATTTCAGCCTTTCGTGCTTTGGTCTTAGAGATTGAGTGAATTTATCGCGTAAAATTGTGGTAGAATGATGTGACTAGTTTGTGATGAGCTATCACACGGCCTCGAGCAATGATTGGGTTGAGGAGCGCGAAGGAGAGCAGAGTGGTGGGCGTGTCAGCATAAGCTGGGCGCGTACACGCCGCGCCGCGGTGTTTACAGAATCGCGGAATAGTCGCTGCACCGAAATTAGTTTGAAACGAATGCGTCAATGGGCAGCCGGGGCAGCGGTGCGCGCGCGATGCTCCTGAAATATTATTTTTATGATTCGATACGCGTCGAGATTTTTATATTAAAAATATATCGGGGGAGAGGCGGCCGCCGCTGTGACGTGCGTGCAAGGGTGCTCGACGAACGAGGATTTTGTGTGATGTGCCGGAATTATATGTGAGTGCGATCTTTTTCTATCATCATCATCACTAAATAGATTGAAAGTAATGTTGTGCGTGTGTAGATTTGGCTTTCTTAACTTTTCGTTAGGAAACCTTTGTGTTAGGTCGGGAAATTTCGTTTAGAGGACGCTTTCGTGGTGTCAAAGTTCATTATTGTATTGAGTACAATGTTCATAGATTCTGAAATTGTTTTGTGTACCTATGATACCTGAATTTAAAAAAATATTGTATAAAAAACTTTATACAATCATGTATGCTGCATAATATTACTTTGAATTATTCTGTAGGATTCTAACACAACATCTCAACTTTACTGGATGATATAAAACTTAAGGAATACCAAGGCAAAAGAATTAAAAAAAACGAATAAAGATAGTTTTTCATTCCCATTAAGTATTTCATTAAAATTTTCTTGAGAACGAATGAAGGTAGATTTTTTTTAATGTGATAGGTACCTATATGAATTTAATGTGAACAATGATGGTGCTTATAGCACCGTAACTAACGAAATATTTTTTTGAAATTTAAAATTGAAATAAGTAGGTAATAAGATTATAAACATTATACACATACACAGTGGTGGTCACATAATTAAAGACACCTCCTAATTTACCACAAAAAACTAACTTATGGTACTAACATTACCTAAAATTGGTATTTAATCCAGTTAAATTTATTATTGGAATTATCTTTATTACACAATATTCCTAACACATTTATAAAACTTTCCGGTACGTATCAATATTTGGTCGCATGTCCTTTGGCAGAAATGACAGCACGACATCCGTGCACGACATCTCTTGGGCATGAAAGCGATCAATTTTTTACAAGTTTCCACCGGAACTTGCTTCCAAGCTTCTCTTAAAGCTGTGTAAAGTTGATCGATGTTTAATGTCCGTTTTGTCGCCACTGTCTTCTTCACCAGTTACCACAAATTTTCTATTAGGCTTAAATCAGGACTGTACGGGGGCCAATCCAAAACTGTCAGAGACTAGTTCTTTAAAAAGTCTTTTATTACTTTTGCAGTGTGTTTCGGATCATTATCCTGTTGGAAAGTCCAAATGACCGGTAAATTTTGATCGGCATAGGGCAACATGGCTTGTTCTAAAATATTCTTGTACATACTGAAATTTATCCATATTGCCTTCTATTTTCTTGACAGGTCCAACACCAAGTCCTGAGAAACAGCCCCAAACTTTTATATTTCCGCCCCCATGTTTAACTACTTTCTTGGTATACTTAGGATCCATTTCTTTGTTCGGGAGGCGTATAACATATTGGTTTCCTTCAGAATTAATCATATTAATTTTTGTTTCATCAGAGAAAAGCACATGTTTCTATTTTCGTTCAGTCCAGTGTACATATTTTTTAGCAAATGCTAATCTTGCCTTAACATTTTGCTTTTTCAAAAGTGGCACCTTCCGAGACACTCTTTCGTACAAGTTTACCTCACATAGTCTCCGTCTAATTGTTCTTGCAGACATACCCTTCGAACTTCCTGCACCAACCAACTCCGAACGTATCAGTTCTGATCCCTTGAACGGATCTTTTTTTGCCAACAACACCATCTTAGAGTCTTCCCGCAGAGAAGTTTTTCTTGGTCTCGCTTTTCTTGGTACGTTTTCGGTCGTGTTGAACTTCTTGAAATGTTTTATAGCATTCATAACCATGTCCTTAGAACAGTTCAAGTGATTTGTTATTTTTCTGTATGACCAATCTTTATTTTCAAAATTGAAAATTATCTTCCTAGTGGACGAATGACAACTCTTGTTTTTTCCCATATTGCTGGGTTGAAAACGTATTAATATTAATTAAAAAACTAGGTTTTATATGTAATATCGACGTTTCATGAAAATACGCGGCAAAACAAAGAAAAACAGAATGCAGTTTTTTATTTATTTTTTTAAATGCCGAACACAGCTTTTACTGTCTTTAATTAGCTGGCCAGCTACAAGTATGTTAAAAAAGTTTGTGTTATATTCCCATAGTGAGCAGTGTCTAAACTAGTAACAAACACAAGTATTTTTTGTCGCACATTGTAAGAATACAAGGTCGTGTATAGTTTAATAACAATTACACTAGATTAAATACCAATTTTAGCTAATTTTAGTACCATTTATTTTTTATTTATTTATTTACTTTGTACATACACAATAAAATATTACATTTTTAGTCGTTTAGTCGTTATGTAAAGAAACACAATGTTTGGATGTCTACTACCTATACGAAATGCAATTCAGTTTCAAATGCAAGCTTTTTGCAGACTGGTTAGAACATTCTCTTAGATTAAATAGAAACTCACCAAAAAAGTACATTAGTAGTACACTCTTTAAAAAAAAACAGAAAAGTTAAATGATTCACAAACTTTTTTCGTTTTATCAGAAGTTTTCAATATTTCTAAATACCTCCGTCGATCAAGCAGGCCCTTTTATCATAGTGACCTCCACACACAATGGTCTCACACTTCCAGTGGGTCCTCCCGACTCGCTTGATGTCGTCAGGGTCGTATTTACAAATCTGACGCCCCGAGCACCCCCCTCCTCACTAGTTCGCAGGGTTGATTCAAAATATAAGTAAATGACCAATGCCTTTTTGAAGCTTCTGCGGTCCCGGGACATTGCCCTCCTGGCCTTTTTTATCGCAGGCAAAACCTCTTTTTACAGTCGTTAGCGCCCTTAAGGGGCACACCAAAGAATGGATCTCACGACTAGCCTCTCGCAAGTCTCACGGGTGCGAAACGGCGAAACCGTTAAGTAGTCCGCGCGGCTTACGAGCGCTTACGCCATACTATCCGCTAAAAAACCCTCGAACGCTGCGGAACCGCGAGATCCCCGTTGAGGGATTGCGTCTCCGCACCTGACAGTTTCAGTGGCTGGCTCCACGGCAGGGAGTACCTGGGGTAACTCGGCTGATCCCGCAGACTTGCGCAGGACTGCAAGCCCTGGGAGCTAAGTGCGCGGCATATTGCCCACCGCAGGGCAAATTTCAGTCCATCAGTAGACCACGGAGTATATGCCATTACCACTTCTGTTTGGTGACTCATTGAGCTATGTGGGTATACTGTAGTTCTTTTATGGATTTCTTTCAACCGCTCATTTACATTTACAAACCTTACATTTCATTTTAGATAGAGGAAATTACAACATGTTTATTTGCCAATAAAATACAATGTGATTTTTAAAGTAACTAAGTATATAGTCTTTGATTAAATTAATAACAAAGGTAGGGCTTTAATAGTTCATTCCCGATAGTGGGTGCACAGTGCAAAGAAAGAGTGTTGCCTATCTTTAAACCCAACTACACAATTTACGTGCGAATCACGACTGTCGTAAACTCAGCCCGACCCAGCGCGGTGCGAATACGATAACAACTGAACAACAAAGGATGGATCCAGGCCAAGACAAAGTATCGTGGAAATTTTTGTTAGACTAAAATTATTTTTGTTAGCATTTTTGAAAATTGGAACATAGAACTTTTTTAAGTTACTGTCTTTTTGAATACTTATATTTAAGACATAACTTAGGTAGGGTAAATTCCTACTATGACAGACTTTTGGGGTAAAGGGTTATAGTGGGTCTGTAGTTCACCCTTAAAAGATAGACATATGCTGTCGCGTTATAGAACTTCTAAAGAGAAATAATAAAGTCATATAATGGAATATTTGTTTGTATCACACCGGTATGGCAGCAACGCGGCACTCAGCGGCAGTGTAAAATAATTTTAAACTGTATCTACATACTTAAAAGGCCAGTAGCACAGTGTTTAATTGGGTAATAATTTACCTGACATTTAAGTTTCACCTGACAATTGAAAAACTAGTCTTGACACTGATTAATAACACCTAAGACTACAGAAGTAAACCTTGTTCCCGAAAATACCATCTTTAATTATGTAGCATTAATCTACTCCACAACCGTCAGGTATATTTATTAGAATCACTCCCGCGCATTCTCAAATCTCATTTCCACTAACCGTTGACATGGCCACACCGCAAGCAAACCCTTTATTTAGGAACGAATATTATGTTCATAGTCCAGTCAATGCACGGTTTACCCTTATTTTACCTACTAATTCTACCAAACAGCACTGATTAGCATTAAAATTTGGTTGTAGGTTCTACTTAGCCTCTACTTCAAAATTGTCAATGCGAGGATTGCTTTTACTCTGGGGGTGGACTCCAAACCTTCTCAGGATGAAAAATATTTTATTAAAAATAAATATGGGAATGGACAGATTGACAAATTCTATAAACTTTTAACTGAAAGTAAATACTTTTCGACTTAAAGTGGACGCGTAAATTAATCAACCTGAAAAACCACGTTTTCAGACGGTTTTTCATGAATAACTCGGAAAAGTATTTTATGGAAACAACAATTAGAAGAAAAAATATAGCTTGTAAAATAAACAAAAAAAACTGGGTTTAAAATACTACTTTATTGAATACTAACGGAGTAATATGTTGTTAAATGTTGGTTGTTCTTTGACAAACGATAAAATCGAGTCTTTACGTGAAATTTTCAAAATCGGTATTGATTTATTATTTTATTCGTCCCTGTTTGGGCAACACACATATATATGTATGTACCTTTCAACTTAATAGGGCCAGTAGATTCAGCGGATATCGTCTGTGACAGACAGACAACCAAGTGATCCTATAAGGGTTCCATTTTTGTCGATTGAGGTACAGAACCCTAATAATATAACACCCTCAAATAATAAATGAAATCCTACCCAAAATATTTTCATGTAACATGTTATCAGAACGAGTCCATAGTGGAAAGGCAAAATCATTTATACACCACTTCGGTCGAAATTGAGTTATATATAATTTTAATCAGATTTTTTTCTTGATTTTTTCGATCGTGTTTATGTTTCGTAAAGATTTGTGTACTTTCTTAGCGCTTAAGCAACTCAATTTATTGAAGATTTTTATTGTTCACAACGCTGAAGCGACGTACATTTTGGTGTTAAAACCTCACCTTATATTAGAAAAAAAGTAATAAAACCTACTACAAAAGGAATAAGCCATTTGAACATTATGTTCTAAAATCAAATCAAATAGCGCGCGCTTTCGCGACTTCCTGTTACACACTTCCGTCTCATTTCACGAAATCACTCCTACAAATTGCAGGAAAGCGGGAGGAAAGATGTTACATATCAAGAATTTACGGCGGGCCAAGTGATTTTCGCTTAAGCGATATCTAATTCGCAAAGTAAAGGCTACTATGTAACTTTTTAATAGAAGGATATTGAGAAAATATTATTTTAGGAATATGTTTTTATTTTTATGGCGCTACTGCTCATTTAGAATGAGGTATACCAGAAAAATCTTTCTATAACCTTCTAAAAGACCTCGGCCTATCGAGAACTGCAGTAAGTTTAATTTTGGAACGAGTAACTAAGGCTGCACTAACAGACTCCTATCAAGTTTGGCTAGGAAGGGCGGGCAACTCAAGCAGTGAAGGTGAGCGTTGATGCGTATCTCAAAGGGGGCCTCCTTAAACCTACACCCGGATGGCAAGGCCCGGGAACTGCTCAGAGTTTCTCTCTGCCACACGGTGGACTCGGCACCCGCACGGTGAAACCATGGATTGTTAAGAATTTCGTCTCACATACAATTAATGAGAAGAGATGTCATTTTAGGATCTTTTTAGGACAACTAATGAAACTTCATTAAAGTTTATGACGGGTTTATAAGAAATAATGAGAATGAATTTTATTTTATTTGGAAATCTGACAGCTTATAAAAAAAATGATAAATATGAAATGATTTAACTAGAACAATCCAAGCCATTTTAATGATTTCACCAATCGCATATAAAAGCATTAAGTAGCTAGCTAGCTTGTGCTAGCTAGTAAGAAACAAATTTTCGAATAACTTATTTTTATGATGCTTCTGAATCTGTGTTCTAAACGGGCCATAGTTGCCCGGCAAAATTATATTTTTAAGAATACCTTAATACTTGTTAGTTGTACACACAGTAACATTATACAGACTACACACTTTAAAAAATTCCTTATATCCATCATTTTACGTCCAAGAAATGCTTAACGTAGGTACGTACGAAATCACTTGACTGTTTACGAGTAGTCCTATCGAAATTTGAGCTTTACTAACGAGACTAATGAGAGTGATGTGCGATTCTATATTTTTTTAAATTTTATATTTATTTTTGGATTATTTATTATTTAATTTTTGGTTCCGAAGCTCCTCGATCTAGGGGGGGGGGGGGGGGGCAGCTGCCCCACCTGCCCGTACCTGGCTACCTACGCCCATGCTTTTCGGTGAAGTCACTCTCAAGTTATGGCATTACTGATAAGATAAAATATATAGATTTTTTATTTTCTTAGACATACAGGCACCTAATTAAATCTAAAGGAATGTTGTTATCCAGAGAAATCTAATAACACAGAATGTGTGTACTAAATTATTTTACACCCAGCCTATCTGGGTCGTGTAATGCTAGTCATGTATTTAAACACCAAATTACTTTGCACTAAACCAACCCATTAAAATTCATACAAACGGGTAGACGGTAATAAACCAAGTTATGAGTACCTACAAAACTTTGGCTTCAAAGACTGACACGAATATAGGCTTGCAACATACCAAATTAGAAAGCTCAAGCAACAGAAAGTTATTAAGATTATTATGGTGAACACAGAAAGAGATTAGAAGGATGGATATCCGTCTTAAAACTACTTCAATCTTCAAAGCACAGCTGATTATTCGTTCAAATTAAATCACGACGGATCGGATGCACGAGTAATTCATAATAATGTATGAAGAATTGGCTATAACTTGTAACAGAAGTAGGTAGCTAAATGCATGATATACCAAATTATTTGAAACTGTATTAATGTTTATTTGTTATTTTTTAAGCATGTAACTGATAGATGTTACAATCTAAAGAAAATTTAACAAGAAAAAATTCCACGCGGACCAGGCAGCAGACGGGACTCGAACCCTCACCCTTCGCTATTCGGGCGAATGCACTGACCATTATGCCACCGCGAACCTAACGGCCGTGTTAAATTTTCTCTAGCCTTTTCTTAAGCTGCAAGGCAGCGCCATCTCTTTGCATTGTAGGTAACCCATCGTAGTAACTGTATTATGTGTTATAATTATAACATGGACAAATATTACTAGTTATGAATGCAATGCACTACTTTTTCTAGGATTTACATAAAAAACCTAGTGTCTACTTATAAATTC